AATAATACAGCTTAGTCTATTGCAGTTATAGTCACTTACCGTCTATATGACCATCTCTCAATCTACTTTCTTCTAGTTCTAACAGAGCGGCCCAGCACGAGCTGGAGAGAGATATCAGTGACAAACATGCAGCCCACCGCATCGACGAGAAGTGCCAGAATCTGCGGAATACCTCTGAAGGCATAGGATATTACCGAGGCGTGGAACGCGTTGATGCCACGTAAGTGGACTGCCATTAATATCTAAATTATTGGGATGAAGGACGAGGCACCTGGTAGCTTTCAATGTGTTACTGAACAGATGAAACATGGATTTTATTTAATATTCAGTCTTCTGTTTCCTTCAGAATTTCAATTCCAGAGTCGTGGGCAAAGTTTAGTGATGATAACATCTTGAGGTCACAGAGTGAACGCGCAGCCTCCGCTAAGCTCAGGGAAGATGTGGAGAACCTTCTCAATGTCACATCCAATGAGATGTGGAGTCAGTTCAATCAGGTCAACGTCATGTTCACTAATCGCATTTCTGAGACGGCTGATGCCAAGAACAAGCTGCAGAGTCACCTAGCAAAGGTATGGGCCTGTGAATAAAATCCCTTTAAGCTACAATTTTAACCAACTGTCTAAATCAGGGTTAAGCAAACGGTAGATGCTCGGTTGTTATAGGACTGCAACCTCCATGATGCTTGAACATTCTAAAGACTGGCAAAACATCATGGCAGTTGTAGTTCATCTGGGAATATACCTTTCACCCAGCCCTGGTCTAAATGTTCACTACATTCTTACAGCTGATTCTTTTAATTTAGAACCAGTGAAGGTCTTCCGATACCTGCTAACCACCATTTTGCTCAGTCGTAACATACAAGACAGTGGAACATTAGTTCTTCAATGGTACAAAATGCCTGTTATACATTCCTATAAATGAAAAAAAATTTATTTGTCTTAAATATAGAGAGAACCACCCACAAAGCTTACAAGGCACACCATGCCGGGTTCGCCAGTCAAACAGGAGAAAGGTTATGAATTCACAAACACATTCTGTGCCAAAAGTATTAGAGTTTGCAAGAAATGTGTCTCAGGAGCTAGATTTTCATTAACCCACAATGTCAAACCTAATTGCAAATGAAGCTATTGGTGCAATATTTATTCCAATATAAAGTTTCATTTTTATTTAGTGCTTAACTATAATCAGGGCCGCCATCAGGGGAGTACAGCCAATACGGCTGTATGAGGCCTGGGTTGCAAATATCCAATGTGTTATAGCTATATATATGTGCTGGCCCCTGGCTTTCTGTATAATGAAGAGGGGGCTCAGCAAACCTCAGCAAGAGTTGGAGAGAGAAGCTGCCAGAAGCAGATGTTTGCTGGGCCCTCTCTGCACTATACAGCCCCTGGCAGCCTGCACAAAGTCACCAGGCCACCAGAGAGTGTAATGTACCCCCGCCCTGACTCAGGTAAGAGGCATGGAAGGGGAGGGGGGGAGTAAAATTACATTAAAATAAATAAATAAATAAAAATGCAGCACCTATCCTACTCCACATATTCACTCACATTACATCTACTACACAAATATACATTGCATCCACTACACTAACACACTCTGCATTCACTATACACATAGCATCCACTACACACACTGCATCCACTAAAAACACAAGGTATCCACTACACACACTGCATCCACTACACAAACACACACTGCATTCACTATACACATAGCATCCACTACACACACACACTTAATCACTACACGCGCACACTACATCCACTGTACACACACTCTACATCCACTACACACATACTCTGTATCTATTACACGCACACACTGCATACACTATACGCATCCACTATACACATCCTCCACATCCACTATACACACACTACACCCGCTACATACACACACACTTTATTCACTACACACAACCTGCATCCACTACATGCACACACTTCATTCACTACACGCACACGTTTCATTCACTAAACACACACTGCATTCACTACACACACACACTGCATCCTTGTGGGTGGACTCTGGATGGACTCTGTGGGTGGATTCGGGGGCCCAAAATTTGTGGTGAATTGGTGGTAAATTTAGAAAGATTAAGGACAAAGTGCAGGAGAGAGAAGGTCAGACAGCCAGTATCAGAGACAAAGACCAACAGGATGCAGGAGAGAAGAAGACAGGTGGGAAAAGGATCAAAAGAGAAAAATGACTGATGTAGAGCTGGATTTAGGAGAGAGAAGGTCATACCGTGACTGAATGGATGAGGGGGGGCATACTGGTGCCAGATGGACAAGGGAGAAGGGCATACAGGGGTCAGTTGGAGGATAGAGAAAGTCATACATTGGCAGAGTGGAGGAAGAAGAATGGCACAAAGTGGCTGGTTCGGGAGGGAGAATGGCATTCGTTGGCAATATGGCAGTGAGAAAAAGACAGATGGGCAGGATAGGGAAGGAAAATAATTCATGTTTTAAAGATTATGATAACATCTAGAATTGCTGAATATTATAGAATATTACTTCCTCTTATCCTGCTGTAGACACTGCAAGAAATCTTTCAAACAGAAATGGCAATAGAATCCATCAAAAAGGCCATCAAGGATAAAATGGCTCCTATGAAAGTAGCGCAGACTCGCTTGGATGAGCGCACCAGACGCCCTAATATCGAGCTATGCCGTGATATTGCACAGATGCGGTAAGGCTGCCGTTATTGGCTTGATGGTGTTATTAGTTATTTGTGATATATTGAATAAGACGAAATAAGACCAAATATCCCATTGTACAGCGCTATGGAATTTAGCTGGCGCTATGTACCGTAAATAATAAAATAATAATAATATTAAATGAGGGGGGGAGGGGGGAACAAATCTTTCACAAGTATATGTGTAAATGATTTGATGCCTTGCTAGACCAAGTCATAGGGAACATTTTAGTAGACTTTCACTGCATTTATAATACGTAATGGAATATTTATAAAAGTGTTCTGAAAAGTATTTGTTAAATGCTGTTATTTTGTTTATATTTAGTAAAGTGTTCTAAAAGTGATCTTCTTTTCAGTAGAAGGCCAGATTTAAAGTGATGGAAGTAACAGATAAAACAAACAAACAAAAAACAAACAGATTTAATAAATTGCGCCAAATAATTTTTGTTCTGAAAGTGATCTAAAAAGTGATAGTTATAGTTAACCCACCAATTTTTGCAGAAATTTCCTTTTCAGAAGAACACCAATTTTAAAGTTACGGAAGCAACAAAACAATAACAAACAAAATAGAATGAATAAATTGCGCCAACATTTTTTTATTAGGGTTTGTTCACCAAACACTGAATAGTAATGAATTGAAACACAATTTTCAAATGTTGACCAAAACTGGCAAACTGAAAAAATCCTGCAACTCAGTATTGTCACAGCTAATATGGGGTAATTTAGCATAAATGTTGCTAATTTGTTTTCATATAACTACAATTTGGTGAATAACGCTCTATGTCTCCTTTATGGAGACCTTGCAAATATCTCCATAGTATGCATTCAATCCTCCTTCCTTACTGAGATACAGAGCCCTGTTAACATTTATAGGTTACATGGTTTAACACAACCTCTATTTAGACTTAGTCTTACTATGCAAATCCCATTCCTAATCTTTGTATCCATTTCAAGCTCTTTTTATTGTTGTTTTTTTTTTTTACTGTCAGTATGAAGTGCGCACATAAATAGATAATACTAATACAGAATATGCTTGTAAATGACCTTGCGTGACCTTCCAAAAGACCAGCTGTGCTTTGCCATCAGCCGTGTCTAAGCAGAGCTGGTGTCAGTATTTGAAAATGGACGATGTTTACGACTTTATGAATTCTTTTCTCCCTCGTACCTCTTCTTCTCAGGCTCTTCCACGAGGTCCAAGAGATCGATGATACCATTCAGGCTTTGCAGCAACGTCTCCGGGAGGCTGAGGACACTCTGCAGATGCTGGTCCACACTAAAGCGAACCTCGAACATGACCTGTCTATCAAGGCAAACTCTCTTTTTATTGACCAGGAGAAATGTATGGGCATGAGGAAGAGTTTCCCCAGCACACCTCGGCTGGTGGGCTACACATAGACTGTCTTGGGTGGTTGACTGGTAAAAGAGTGCTAATCTAAGACAAATAAATTCATCACCTCCACCTGGTATTCACTCACCTGTGTTGTGCTTTTACAATGTGTGGTTTTTACACGCAAAACTCTAAATTATAGTCATGCACAGATTATATTAAAAATTAATAATATTTTATGCAAAAAATTTGATTTATTCCTCACTGTGTGTGACACGATGCCAGCCTAAAATTAAACCACTGCAGATAGGATCTCAGTTTGATCACAATGGATAAACCAGTAATAATGTCTGTGTGCTTGTTTCTGGACTACTGCTCCTTCATCGACCAAAATCCCTACACTCCGCAACAACACTGAAAGGAACACTCTGATGTTATTATCAAATCGTCTTAATAGTATTTTAGATTTAGCCCACACACTTCCTCACGGTGTCTAGGTGAGCCTGGTAAAGTGTTAAGATTCCCCTAATTACTTTTTAATGAACCCCTGATCCTACATCACGCTCTGCTCAACAACATTAACCGACTGAAACAAGATCACTTTAAATATATGTAAAAACAAAACGACAAACAAATTAAAAAAAAAAAAAAAAACCCAAACAATAATGTAGAAATGACTGGCAGGAAGCTAAGATTGAGGCACACAGTTGAGGGATAATGAGATAAAGATTTCTCTAATTCATATTCTAAAAACATAGAGATATGTAAATACAAGATTGATAATCCTGGGATGTGAAAATTCTCCTTTAAATGGAATAAATTTAAGTCTGCTACAGTTACAGAGTTATCCCGGAAGCAGAAGCTATTGATCATTTGGCATTAAAAGTGTTAATGATTTATCTCTTAGAATAATGAAAAATCACTGAGCAATTAATTGGAATGAAAAGTTACAAAAAATATATCATTTTAATAGATGCTACAACAATGGTGCCGATTCCTCGTGTTCAGCACTAAATAGCCACGTAAAATATACAAATTCCAGTTTGTTCAATACAAACAAATCTTGTAACCGCAAAATGGAAGGAGTTATGAAAACACATTATTGTTCTGTGCAAATATCTGCTATATTTAAAATGAAATACAGGACCCTGATTTAATTGAGTTTATAGGTGTGCACGTAAAGGAAAGGCATACCCCTATAAACTCAATTAAATCAGGGTCCTTTTTCTCTCAACATTTTTGGCCAGTGTGATATTGTTAGAAAAATGTGTCTTTAAAAGATGATGCCCATATAAGCAGGGCTCTTGGGTAGGAAGATACGGTGCACTTTTATACAAAATACAAATATCATTCAACCTTCAATGTGTCCTCAAGTAACCCAAATTCTGTAAGAGTATAAATCGTTTCTTACTTCCCAAAAGACTTCCCAATGCAAACGTGTTTTGGAAAAACTCGGAAATGGTTTATTGGCATTGGTATACAGTGTCAGGACAAGCCTGATGGAATGGACCTATAGAAAGCAAATCACAGTGTTAGACCATGTTTTACAATATACATGAATAGGCATTAAGTCATATTTACAACCTGATTGGTTCATTGTATCTTTTTTAATTAGAGGACTACTAAAACCATTCAGACCATTTCATCTCAATGAAGCGGTTTGGGTGCTTCGGTCCTGTCGCCACTGGTTGTCCTGTAGCCAATGGAAAACTATCAGATACCAGGCAACTGACCACAGCATTTACTGAAGCATCACTGCTAAAACCCTCTCTGACACTAGGAAGTATCCACTGAAGGGTTTCTGTTGAATTTATGTTGTTGCAATTAAAGGAACACTATAGTCACCTAAATTACTTTAGCTAAATAAAGCAGTTTTAGTGTATAGATCATTCCCCTGAAATTTCACTGCTCAATTCACTGTCATTTAGGAGTTAAATCACTTTGTTTCTGTTTATGCAGCCCTAGCCACACCTCCCCTGGCTATGATTGACAGAGCCTGCATGAAAAAAAAAACTGGTTTCACTTTCAAACAGATGTAATTTACCTTAAATAATTGTATCTCAATCTCTAAATTGAACTTTAATCACATACAGGAGGCTCTTGCAGGGTATAGCAAGCTATTAACATAGCAGGGGATAAGAAAATCTTAATTAAACAGAACTTGCAATAAAGAAAGCCTAAATAGGGCTCTCTTTAAAGGAAGTGTTTATGGAAGGCTGTGCAAGTCACACGCAGGGAGGTGTGACTAGGGTTCATAAACAAAGGAATTTAACTGCTAAATGGCAGAGGATTGAGCAGTGAGGCTGCAGGGGCATGTTCTATACACCAAAACTGCTTCATTAAGCTAAAGTTGTTCAGATGACTGTAGTGTCCCTTTAAGGAATAGCCTGTAATACTATTGCATTTACATCTTTGTAATATGAAGTTAAGAACAACTGGTCTAGCAGTAAGCGCATCATTATGAACAGAATACCAAGATTGAATCTGTTTCCTGAAAAATTTACTCAAATCAAACATTTTGCTTTTTTTTGCTCACCGCACACACAAGACACCAACACATGTGACAGAGGAACGAAGAATAATACTGCGGGCCAATACTTTGTCAGTGAATGTACCCTTCCTATCACATGAATTATCACCACAACGTTTCCTGGCTTCTTTTAACCCTTTACAATATTCCTGCCTGGCCTATCTGTGATGAAGACACTTTACTGTTGAAACATTGCCAAGTTTACTCTGATGAATAAATCAAGTCACATGACACCAATGTGGTGTAACCAAGTTCCTTTTTGGTTTCTTGATTTGACATATATAGATGGCAGTATCAAATGAACAATGTACAATAAATAATATCTGTGCCCTATGTATAGTAAAACAGTTTTTTACCACACATAATTCTTGGACCCTAATTTCTCGCATTTCTCGCAGAAAAATAGTTTTGCAAATTAGTACAAACGATGATATTTAGAGAACGTATGGAGGAGTTCCATGGTGCCTGAGAGATTTGGGCAATCTATGAAAAGGATGGGTAGAATTAATTGGGGTTGAGTATTGTTGGACCCTCTGTTTATGGTGTCCTTGTGGGATAAAGACCTCCCAAGAATCACAAAATGTTAAATTAAACTAATATACAATACACACTTGACTTTCTTTTGGTTAATATGCATTTTTTGGCATGTACACCCCTCAATAATGAGATTAATTTAACTATATGGCATAGCATTTTAATCCCCCTTATAAAAATTCTCACATATGGTCCTAATATTGACACGGCATTAAAATGCGGGGCGCACCACAACCACACACAATGCAGAGTACAACGGCCACCCCAGAATGCAGTTCACGTTATGTTTCTCAAACATTGAATATTAAGCATACAATTTTACAATATTTGCGAAAGGAAAAACCTCCAAATGTGAGGGGCTCCATAAATTTGAGTTTCAGTTGACACACAGATACAATCTGTAGCACCGTCCAAAATATATATTAAAAAAATTATTTAATGTTATTCATTATTGCGATGTACAGTAAAGAGGGGGGAAAAAGCAAATTAATGATTTTTACTATCACATCAAATTAAATAGATCAATGTTTTATTGATGACAGACTTGACCTAATGATTACATTCCCAAGATGAGCTATAAAGCATTTCCAATGTTTATTTTGAATCCGCAAATAATTCAAACAGATGCTTTTTTCTAGATACTACAGGAAATGAAGTTATGTCAGACTTTCACACTACTTTTAAGTGCCAAGTTTCACATCCACAAGCGTGTCATTCACACTTAGGCAGCTGAAGGTGATACAATGCTGTATCATTAAGCAGGACATAATCACAGCCAGCTGAATCCCCACAGGAAGCTCAGCTAAGAGGTGAACTTGCTCAGTTCTCACAAAAGAGTTTAGATGATCAAGAGTTTTTCTGTGTGGACTCCTCATATCTTTTAACAATGAGACAATTCCGCTCTAGGAAACATTTTGTACAGTACAGAACTGCCGTACGTTACTGAGACTTTACATTATTATGGGATTTTTTATGAAAATGTTTCTTCTTTCAGGACATTCATTGAATGACGTATCCCACCTCTCCTCTGTGATGCAGACAACTTAGTGGAAAATAAAAGCATTTAAATACCCAGTCGTGGACAGAGATTAGTAGTAGGACTCTAGATCCAATAATAGGGTGTCTTTTCTATTACAGGATTGGCATTTTCCTCTTGGTCGTTATTTTGGTGGATGGAAAATATGTGTCACTAGACGGCTCAGGCCAGCTTGGACTAATGACAACGTTTCACTTAACGCTTCTACTGCCAGGTGAGCAGAGCTGCGCGTTGCGGCCGACTCGAAGGGAGACAATCTGTGTGATTTACACACAGACGATGAGAGGAATTATTTCTACACCTTTCATTAGATTGTCCTTCAAAGTGAAGCATAGATTCTTTTAGCATAACATTATGAAACATTCCATAGATGGTATTAGATCGTCAGAGACGACCTCACTGTAAACATTGGCCTTCATGACGGACAGCACCGTATATTGGTGCTTTTTAAATAAAAATTAAGAACCATCGATGATCCAAGATCCACAGTTTCCAAATTCTCTTTTAACAAAAGTATTTTGGGATTATGTATTTGGTGTGAGCAAGGTGTGGGGTTCTTGTGTGAAATTTTACATGGTTTACTGATAATTTATGCAACTAAAATGTAATTTAGAACAAGAACAATGTATCTTATTTACACAGACTGATTTCTAAATACATTTATCAACACATTACTGGGAGCATTATCGCTGTGGCGCTCTGTTATACACTCAGTCACATTACTGGGAGTATTATTGCTGTGGAGCTCTGTTATACACTCAGACACATTACTGGGAGTATTATTGCTGTGGAGCTCTGTTATACAGTCAGACACATTACTGGGAGTATTATTGCTGTGGAGCTCTGTTATACACTCAGACACATTACTGGGAGTATTATTGCTGTGGAGCTCTGTTATACAGTCAGACACATTACTGGGAGTATTATTGCTGTGGAGCTCTGTTATACACTCAGACACATTACTGGGAGTATTATTGCTGTGGAGCTCTGTTATACACTCAGACACATTACTGGGAGTATTATTGCTGTGGAGCTCTGTTATACACTCAGACACATTACTGGGAGTATTATTGCTGTGGAGCTCTGTTATACACTCAGACCCATTACTGGGAGTATTATTGCTGTGGAACTCTGTTATACACTCAGTCACATTACTGGGGATATTACTGCTGTGGAGCTCTTTTATACACTCAGACACATTACTGGGAGTATTATTGCTGTGGAGCTCTGTTATACACTCAGACCCATTACTGGGAGTATTATTGCTGTGGAGCTCTGTTATACACTCAGACACATTACTGGGAGTATTATTGCTGTGGAGCTCTGTTATACACTCAGACCCATTACTGGGAGTATTATTGCTGTGGAGCTCTGTTATACACTCAGACACATTACTGGGAATATTATTGTTGTGGAGCTCAGTTATACACTCAGGCACATTACTGGGAGTATTATTGATGTGGAGCTCTGTTATACACTCAGTCACATTAGTGGGAGTATTATTGATGTGGAGCTCTGTTATACAATCAGACACATTACTGGGAGTATTATTGCTGTGGAGCTCTGTTATACACTCAGTCACATTACTGAGAGTATTATTGCTGTGGAGCTCTGTTATACACTCAGACACATTACTGGGAATATTATTGCTGTGGAGCTCCGTTAAACACTCAGACACAATATGGAGCTCCTAGAATATACCCTCAGAATATGGAAGAATTTGGGCTGAAAATAGGCACTTTCCCTTCTAAATGGGGACACGTGGGAGGTAGGCTATTGGGCTCTCAAGAAAACTCAGAAAGGTTTGGGGCGATTGCTACAGGTTCTACATACCTCTCAACATTATAAATGGACAAAGAGGGACACTTTACATTTTAGTGGGAGTGTAGCCATAGGATGAGCTGTTCTGAGATAATTTAGGTGACTTACTTATAACAATTTATACAGCTAACATGTAACTTAGAAATAGAACAATGTACCTTATTTACACAGACTGATTTCTAAATAATTTTTTTGTAGTTTAAAGACACATTACTGTGAACATTGTTGAACAACAACATCGAAGCAAGCACTCCCCAATCCTTCTTTGCTCAACATCCTTATGTGCAACATACTAAGTGTGTACATTTGTATTCTTTTCTGTTTTGCGATGACGTTTTATGTCTATCTCATACTGCATGGGTTTTTTTTTTGTATGGTTTTTCTCAAATACTTCGATAAAACTGTAACCATTGAAAAAAAAGAAAACGACAGATACTGGATATCAGCTATGCTGTGCTTGCTATCAGTTTACTGACAGTCCTGTCAACACTTTTGTGAATGGGCTTGTGAGTACAGCTAAGGCTTGGGCTGTTGATCAAAGCGAGGGAAAGGGAGAGACTTTAACAGAGTGCAATAAACCCCCCCAAAATATCTAGCATGGGCCGAGTAAGAAATGCATCTTCCTCTTCTGATGTCCTGGACCAAAGTGATTTTTGCTAATACATAATACCGATATATGCAGCTGTGTGCAGACAGGAGATGCTTTATTGATGATCAAACGACTTGGAGGATCCATTTAAGACAGACAATAAAATAAGTCAATATAAACACAGAGTTGGCATGTCCCACCAAGACAGGACTTACCTGGGTGCTCCGACATGCCCAGCTCAGACAATAAAACAGGTTTGGCAGTTTTTATGTATTCCCATTGTTTAAACATATAGGTTTATATATATCCTATAGAATGTAAGCTCGATTGAGCAGGGTCCTCTTCAACCTATTGTTCCTGTAAGTTTATTTGTAATTGTCCTATTTATAGTTAAATCCCCTTTCATAATATTGTAAAGCGCTACGGAATCTGTTGGCGCTATATAAATGGCAATAATAATAATAATAATATATATATACGTTTTTTCCCCCACTTCATATGGCCAAAAAAATAAGCTTTTTAAATCATAACTACTGTCTATTTGTATCATGTGAGTACACACAGAATTAGGCAGACCCAGAGGTAATATTAATGGGGCACTAACTGGACTAGTGAATTAGTAAGGCATTTTTGTGTAGTATCTGGGTATTATTATAAAATAAATGTTGCTTAGTCCCATTGCATTTGCTTATTTAAAAGGAAATAGAAAACGATAGCGCGGTGTGGGGAAGCAGGCTGTCCCTGTGTGCTATGGTGACAGAGACAGCTTTACCCGATCCTCTTGCACTCCCTCACCCCATCTGACTGACCGCACCAAGAGGAGCTGATATAACCTCACATATTTATTCAGCGTTGAACCATTTTCAAGCAGATTAACACTAAATAATAGTCACTGGCCACCCACATCTCTGCCCCTACTGGAGGTGTAACCAATGCAGAAATTACATGCTTCCTTCTAGCTATACCAATTCATACCAGCAAAGGGCCGCGTGATAGGTTGAACGCGGTCAGCTAACACTCTCAGCCAATCACAGCTGCCTGTTGCTGCTTTAGGTTAATACTTCTTTGTTAGTCCAAGTCTAAGAGGGGATGGACTGCTGAGGACTCTTGTATAGCATTAAATTATTAAAAACCAGGGGACTCCAGACACTATAACCACTTTAAAGAGATAAAGCAGGTACAGTGCCTACATTGTCCCTTCAATTAGTTCAATCTATAGCTTACTTATGTGTGTGTGTGCCTGGTTATGTCCTTTGTGAGGCTAATATGATATGTGTGAAGTGTCTGATGTGCTTTGATTGTAGTGACTAGTTTAAAAAGTGTTAAACACCGTATGGCTCCATCTGTGTGAGTCTGATTATACTGTTGTATATTGCTTCTGCAAATGTTGAAAAGTAAATAGATATTTTAAAGCTGTGGTTAGACATGTTTAACTCTACTTCATTTATCACATCAAAAATCAAATGGGTTCTTTAATGTGACCATTCAATTGCCAGATTGGTGTTTTATCTTAACTGCTAATGTCTTTATCCAGTGAAAAGCCATTTAACTGAGAGTATGATCTTAATTGTCATAGGAAAGGGGTGTATTTTAAAACTCCCTCCTTATCTACTGATGAGACTACACCTAACAAATGCTAATTAGCTACATTGATCTGTTTCTATCCGATGAACTATTTTGATCAGAATACTTTTCTTTGTAGGGACTCAAAGTACTTTGCACAATACAACTAGCCGAAGCTGACAAATATTAAATAATATCACAGATTGAAATCATTGTATCTATGTAAAAAGGTTTAGCTTGCATATGTGAGTATAGAACATGCAAGTTGGAGGTTAAAAATGTTACCATGGCTCTCTGCTGAGGGGTTTATGATCGAAACTGGGTATTATGGTAAATTGAAAACTTAATTATAAAGTGTAGGCAAAAATAACCATGTTTAAAAAAAAAAAAAAAAGCAGGAATTGGATTTTTTCCAATGTAGCTATTTTGGCTTACATTTTGCAATCTAAATTTTTATTTCACCATAAGTCACTGTTTAATAACTAATTCCCTGATTTGTATAATTTACTGATGGGGAAGTTGACCCTGAGACATGTCAGAAGATATTTCTGACTGTGTGATCACCATTGCCATCACCTGACCGTGCGCCAGAGAACTGGGCAACCATAGATTGCACTCGGAGGCAATTATTGATATCGTTTATTGGTTTGACACCAGCAAAGTCCAAAGTGCTGGATACTTTGAGTAACGGTGTAGTAACAATACAAAATACTGTGACAGACACAGCAGATTTAGATATAGGTGTGTGTTTCCAGGTAGTACGAAAAATAAACCAAAGGATTAATGACATAATAAGCTCCAACACAACAGGTTGATTGGTTTATTAACATCTCCAGAACCCAGAGCCATTATTCTCCTGTAATACATGCTTTGCCAATACATTTATTATATTATCTTTATTCCAAAGAAGTTTTTAGGCTAGGGTCAGTGTTTTGGAGTTGGAGTTAGAGTTTGTGTAGGGTTTACAGAGAGATGTTTAATGGGACATACATGTCCTATTACTGCCTGAAATTGGTTGAAATTACAGGCGACTGCTCAATTTTCTGTCAATTATGCATTAAATTACTTTGTTTATGCAGCCACACCTCCCCTGCATGTGACCAACGCAGTCTCTCTACACACTTCCTGTAAAGAGAGATCTAATGTTTAAACTTCCTTTTTCCTGATTTATTTAAAATGCCTTCTAAATCTTTTGCTCTGTTAATTGCCTACTAGAGCTTACAGGAGCCTCCTGTGTGTGATTAAAGTTCAATTAACAGAGCGGGAGATAAAAACTTCTAACATAAACACACTGTGATGTCACATCTGATAGAAAAAAAAAAAAATTATGCACACTGTGTGAGTCACAACCCATGAAGGTGTGGCTAGGGCTTCATAAACAGAAACAAAAGTGGCTTAAATCTTAAATGGCAGAAAATTGAACAATGACACCGCAGAGGCATGATCTATGCACCAAAACGGCATGATTAAGCTAAAGTTATTTTGTTGACTATAGTGTGCCTTTAAGTGGGGATAACAGCGATAGAGAACTTCTGTTAATTTCCTTTATAATAACAATCTCACATGAATTGCCTGCCCAGTACAAGACATAATTTTGCTCTAACACTGCTCTGATTAGACAAAATATTATAGTCAATGGCCCACATCTACTTGATCCATGGCAATTTTCTACTTTGCAACTTGATATTATTGTGCATTACGCATATATATACATTGTAAACCTGCTAGATTAGACTTTCTGGTATTTTAAATTAGTTGCTATGATGCATATTGCCCATATTTCAATAAATGGATATGAAGCAAAACACTATCTTGAGAGATCACTGATATACAAAGAATAACGGTGATATTGGTACTGCTTACAAATTTATATGTCACTGCAAATAAAGGACCATGCATATAGCAAAGCTGGTGTGAGGTTTGTGCTATGTCGCATTTAATTCACACATCAAGCAGGTATTTGCATGCATAGCATGGCCGCTATGTGCACTGCAAGCATTGTTCGGGAGGGGATTAGAAATCAAATCTCTCAGGTATTACAGCAGAGTGCAGATAGTTCCAAGGTTGGGTCGTGTTCTAATCACTGAATTATTGTAGCACACACGTCATTGCACATAATGACCTGAGCTGCATCAGACTCGGGAGTGACTTGTAGGCCAATTCAGTGATCAAGCCACATCCCCTCAAAGAAGTAATTACCCAATTTACATCATCAAGCTTAGCAGATTTCTATGAATCCCATGGATCTAAAAGGAGATTAAAGGGTTAGGGTACCTGAAACTGAGACTGCAACAAATACAGGGCTGTAGGCATGGGACAGGCGCTCAGAGGGTTAAACATTTTTTTTTCTTATTGACTTTACAATGATATTTTAAATAATTCTATGACGTCACCTATTTTAACTGCCGTGACCAAAGACAGTAAATAGATCAGGCTCATACAGCTTACAGGGGATACATCAACATGTTATCTAATTATAACTATATTTAAACATAGTCTTAACTAATCCAATCTAATTGGATAGTTTACATAAAATGCTAATGAACTGGCTGCTGTATTCTCGAAATCCAGGTTTCTGTGTTGTGGCTCATAGTTTTTCTTCATATCTATTCTTCAAATAATTGTATTTAGGCAAAAATGTTACATTGTAAATAATGTGTCTACTAAGCTTATAGTTCCACATCTTGATTTTCACTCACATTTTATTTTAATCTACCTTGTTACATCTCAGCCAGTCTGTATTTAATGTCTTTCTACCTCTATTGATCAAACAATCACTGGCAAGATCAGCGTAAGCATGTTTAATATAAAATACCTGTGCAGTTTCCTCATGTGCCACAATGCTTTGATTTCGCTTATGTTTTATTCCGTTTTATACTGTGGTATGGGTCTCTACCTGCCAAGTAATGTCGCATGTCAACAAACGGATCGGGGAGAGAAATGCCAAGTAATGCTGGAAGTGGAAGACGCAGAGATTTGGAATTTTAGTATCAATAGACAATTTAAACGTATGTTTATGTTGGTTTCATAAACTGTCTTATGTGAGGCAGGCTCCCGGGACCCTACCCATTGAACATCCACAATTCCCATATCTAGTTACCCTCTGGACAACTTAGGAAGAATGAGCATGACTGCTGCCCGTGCCTAGTGGGCTGGATTAAAATAATGATACAAAAGTTGACTCACCAGTCAGCAGAGGCAAGGGACAGGAGCAGACTGACTTTGTCCGGGTTTTCCTACCGACTTTCTGCAAGCACAAGAAGCTGTTAGGCTGATCAAAGGCCTGCTTAGACCCAGTGTGACACCCCTTCAAGGATGGCTACCCTACCTACGATTATGGAACCCTATCTGGTGAGGCTCCTGCAGGCTTACCAGGCATCCCACATGCTGGGGGTGCTGGAGGCCCTGGTGCCTGGAGTAGATACGACCTCAGGGAAAGTGGATGGCATTGCCGTTTCTGGTGGGCAGAGGGCCAGGTGCTTTCGTCGTGCGATGAGGAACAGTGATCGGAGGCCGCACCAGAGCCAGGGAGTCGGCAGAAGACTCCCTGCCAGCGACTGGCAGCAGATCTGGAACAGTGACATCGCCAGCGGTGGCTGCAGGGCGCAGGAGACGGTCCAGGCGAGGTGGCTCAGGTGAGGCCCAAGATGGCGGTCCCAGCAATGGCGGAGGGCCCAATGGAAGAACGCACAGTCCGCCTTCAGGCCAGAGCTGAAGTGACGTCGTCACGCACGCAACGTGGCATACGTGCACCGGAAGTTGATGGCGGAACGCGGGGCGAGTACGGGACAGCAGCGCGAAGACAAGAGCGCCGGTCCCAGGCCTGGGCGCATCAACCAGAGCAAGAGGTCAGGAGCATCAGGTACAGACAGCGGTCCGGCTGTACAGGCGGCTGCGGGTCCCCAGCATCTCCTTCCGAAGTGCCTAGTCTGGATCGGAGGAGGAGAGGACTACAGTTCCAGTGGTGGTTCCTGAGACTGCTAATGGTGAGTATTGAGCCAGCGCGCAGGAAGCGTTGGCGAGTAGAAAGGGGTCAAGTGAGCATCAGGGGTATAGTTACAGGCCGGAGCAGGGGGATGTGATATCAGTGCTTAACAGGTTTCCAGAGGGTATTGCACAGGCTAAGGCGCAGGTTGGTATCCCTAGTCAGGTGGGAGCGTTTGGTCGTCCCCCCATGTCAGGCTGCGAGCTGGCGCCTCTAGGGATGCATATTCCCCTGGAGGTCAGAGATAAATTACTGAAGGATGAGTTAGTAGATGTGTTAACTCTGGTGTCCCCTGACCGGGAATCCGTGGACAGGCCGCGGCGTGGGAACATGGTGGATGGAGAGAAAGGTAAGATTCCCTGCACCTTTGGAAACTGGCTCCAAAGGTTTATGGCATATGCGAGCATAGTGTCGCAGAGCTTCCCAGAGAAGGCACTGTTTGGGTATATGGATCATTTTTGGGGGGCTTTTAAGGTTTATGGTGGGCAATGCTGGTTCCGCTACGACCAGCAATTTCTGCAAAAGATGACGTTTAGTCAAGGTATGGACTTTGAGGTGCAGGACGGCAGCTTGTGGCTGCTGTTGATGACCCCCTCGAGGCCAGCCCCCATTTCAGGTGGGGCCGGTGCACAGCCCGGTGCGTCGGCAGGAACACGCAAGGTCGTTTGCTGGCTCTTTAACAAGAGCCACTGCAAGTGGTACAGGACTTGCAGTCGAAGACTGATTAGGCAGGCAGGGGAGCTCAGGTTCATATCGGAGTTATGGAGGGCTTATATTGCCCAGATCGGCTTGTTAGGGAGTATCTCAGGTTTGGGGACGAGTGGGAGGGCTCCCTTCTGGTTCACCAGGATGGAACATCGCTGAGTCAGTTCCAGTTCTCCAGGATTCTGCAGGTATGTGTGAGGTGTGTTGGATTAGAGCTGAGCCAATACACGTCGCACACCTTCCGCATAGAGGCGGCAATTAAGGCGAGTCAGATGGGTCTCCCCGAGGCTTGAAAATGATTGGAGCGGTGGAAATCGGGCTGGTATCAGCTATATGTGTGCCCGCATATGTTATGATGGTGTTTATCGGTTTCCCCTCCCCCTCACCATTCTCTCTCAGTTTTGTTTGTTATGTTATTCTTGGTGGTGGATGGTTTTAATGTCTGTTCTTTCCTTCTAGGTAGGGGCCCACGCTTCATATGGATAATGGGGCACTCAGGCACGCGGAAGACAGATTATATGGTCGTAACTTGGGTTTTCCCTATGAGTCAGTGCGGGTACATTGGAGGGGGTTAAGGGGATTACGCCTGGATCAAATGTACTCAGAATGTACTCAGCGTTTCAGGTCTGGTAATCCTAGTACTGCACGTGGGCGGGAATGATATCGGAGGTCGGTCAATCTCATCCATGCCATGAAACAAGATGTGGCGTGCTGGTTTGCTCTCTTTAAAGAATTGACTATAGTATGGTCGGAAATCATCCCTCGCCCAGTATGGCGGGCGAGTGCACATAGGAAAGGCTTAGAGAGGTGTAGGAGGAAAGTCAACATGATGGTCTCAAGATTTATTCGACGCATGGGGGGAGTTCGCCACTTTGAACTGGAAGGGGACAATTCTAATGTCATGCGGGTGGATGGGGTGCACCTGGTGGCGGTATCCTGGACAGCACAAAGGAAAAGATTAAGACAAAGAGTCGCTTTGGGGAGATGACAGCCCTCACGGGAGCTGATGGCAAGTGCCGGCTGTTTAGGCTCATGGACAAAGGTTGGGGGAACTGTCTGTTGGGCAACCGCTCAACAGCTGACAGGGTTGGATAATGTTAAAGTAAAAAATTTAATAAAGCTGTGGCCGTTGCCCTTATCCACTAAGAAGATGTCCGGTGTGTTATTGGGGGACATGGATGGTGGGTCAGCAGTCAAGAAAACCACGTGTTGCCACGAACAAGTGAACCTCAAAGGAAACTGGAGAGTGAGCACTTTGAACTATCACCTTTATAATGTAAACTCACGTTCAATCTAACTGGAAACATTGTATTATTGTTATTATTATTATTATGTTATTTATATACAGCCATCACATTCCGTAGCGCTGTACAATTGTATGAAAGAGCTTCAATGGCTAGAATTCAGCACACCTTTACCTTTTGTATTGGTCTGTGTATATTGTACAGTTTTTCACCAATTGTACAGCGCTGTGGAATATGGCGCTATATAAGTGCCGATAACAGTAATAATAACTACTGTTGCTACAGTAAGGGTTACAGAGGATGCAGTTATACTTAAAGGACCACTATAGTGCCAGGAAAACATACTCTTTTTCCTGGCACTATAGTGCCCTGAGGGTGCCCCCACCCTCAGGGTCCCCCTCCCGCCGGGCTCTAGGGTGAGGAAGGGGTTAAACTAACCTCTTTCTCCAGCGCCGGGCGGGGAGCTCTCCTCCTCCTTTCCACCTCCTCTCCTCCTCTTCGGCTGAATGCGCATGCGCAGCAGGAGCCGCGCGCGCATTCAGCCAGTCCCATAGGAAAGCATTCACAATGCTTTCCTATGGACGCTTGCATCTTCTCACTGTGATTTTCACAGTGAAAAGCACGCAAGCGCCTCTAGCGGCTGTCAATGAGACAGCCACTAGAGGCTGGATTAACCGAAATATAACCCTAAACTGCTATGTTTATAGAAAAAAGGGTTAACCCTAGCTGGACCAGGCACCCAGACCACTTAATTAAGCTGAAGTGGTCTGGGTGCCTATAGTGGTCCTTTAAAGCTTGCTGAAGTGCTTTATGTGTGAGTGTGTACTCTTTTTTTTTTTTAAATTTTATTTTAATCTCGTTACACCCCCTACCCCGGCTATTCGTCAAAAAACTGATCCTTTTACTTCCTGGTTGTTTAGCTTTAGGGCCGTCTTTAACTCAGGGCAAATGAGTTGCCAACAACAATTTGGAGGGGACCATCAGGTGGCCCATGAGTTTAGGGTCACCTGATAGGTATGACTGAACAGGGGCCCAGTCTAGTGCCGCTGCCCTTTTGAGCACAACCCTGTGGCAATGGCCGGCTGGGAGAAAGTGACAGCCATTCACTTCCCCCCAGTTACTTACAGAGAGTGCCGCGCAGGAGGGAAAGCGGAGGCAGTGGCACAGGCAACATGGGGGAAGAGGCAGGAATGAGCATGCTCACTCCCATCAGCCGCAGCCATAATCAGCAGGACCCCAAACAAACCACCATTCTGAGTACAAAAGGTGAGCTAACAGGGGGGTGTCTGCAAATATAGAAATTATAACATCTACATATGCCAGACTCTGTGTGTGTGTGTGTGTGTGTGTGTGTGTGCGTGTGTGTATATCTGTGTGTCATTGTGTGTATCTGTGTGTGTGGATGTGCCATTGTGTGTATCTGTGTATGTCTGGAAGTGTATGTCTGTGGGTGTCAGTGTATGTGAATGTGCCAGTGTGTATATGTGAGTGTCAGTGTGTGTATCAGCATGTCAATGTGTGTCATTGTGTGTGTGTGCAACTTTGTATATCTGTGTGTGTCATGGTGTGTGTATGTGTTGCTGTATATCTCTGATTGTGTATCTGTGTGTCAGTGTGTGTATCTATGTGTCATTGTGTATCAGTTTGCCAAGGTGTGTTCATGTGTCCAGGTGTGTGCATATGTTAGTGTGTTTGTATGTGTGTATCTATGTGTTAATGTGTATGTATATTTGTGTAAGTATGTATGTGCATACACCCCAGCAATCTACCACAATATGCAAAAACACCCCCACATATACAAACATTACATACAAACACATGCCTTCATTCAAACACTAATACTACACACAAATGTACATCCACATTTAAAAAACAACACTAGAACCAAACACAGCCCTGCATGCAAATGCAAACATTACATACAAGCACATCCCTGTAATAAAATGCTTAAATTATATACAAATACTAACTCTGCACACTCTGCATATAAAAGCAGGTGGGGATCTATTTTTTTGCCACTCTTGCGCTAGAGTTTGGGCCCAAAAATTTTCTTGCCCCTGGGCCCTCGACCCCACTGGGGTGGAGGGGGTGATTGCATGCCAGGGAGTCGAGACAGGGGTGGACAGAGATGATGGGGCCCAAGCAAATGCTTCCCCATGTCCAATCAATATTAAAGACAGCCCTGTTTAGCTCAGTTGCGTTAAACCCAAGAAGCAGCAATTGCCCAGAGCCCCTGCCTTGCAAAAACTAATCATTGAACTGCATTTGAGCTCTGTGATTGGACAGTCACAGAAAGTCTGGGCGGGGTTCGAAGGGGAGGGCTTTCAAAGGTTGCAGACAAGACATTTGCACCCTCTCTTTTTCCTGATTACCTTGAGGAAAGCACAAGGCGCCATAGCTGTCTCCTCCTCATCTGGACGATGGAATCGGAACTTATATCTCTGCTCCCACTGGAACACTGTTAACGACAACTAACGGGGCATGGTGGAGAAAGATGTGGTACGTGGACAAATCCATCGGTTTTCACATGGTATCACAAGGGACATCAAACCTCTCCAGCTCCACGCCAATGAAGCATCTAGGGGTGGAGGAGCTGTTTCAGCACTGATGCAAAGACAGGTGCCACAATTGTACAGAAATGGTGCCCACCATTATGACCCCACAGGAGCTAACACATATAATGACAAATACTATGTGTAAAGCACAGGCAAACAAGACTTTTAAATAAAAAAAAAATCATAAACATAAACTCCACCAAATGGAAACAGACAGAAAACCCAACATACATAAATTAGAAATTACTCTATTTTTTGTACCTCCAATCAGGAGAATTAAAACCAGATAACACCACGCCTCAGCCATGCTTTTATATGCACAACTATGGAGAACAAAAACACACTGTGGGGCACCTACGGAGAAACATGGTATTACCATTTATATAACACTGCTAGGCTTTACTGCTTCCACTGGAAGGCTATTCCAGGTATCTACTACCATTTCGATATCACTGTTAGCCTTACTGCATCCACTGGAAGGCTATTCCATGTATCTACTACAATTTCTATAACACTGCTAGCCTTTACTGCTTCCACTGGAAGGCTATTCCATGTATCTACTACAATTTCTATAACACTGCTAGCCTTTACTGCTTCCACTGGAAGGCTATTCCAGGTATCTACTACCATTTCTATATCACTGTTAGCCTTACTGCATCCACTGAAAGGCTATTCCATGTATCTACTACAATTTCTATAACACTGCTAGCCTTTACTGCTTCCACTGGAAGGCTATTCCAGGTATCTACTACCATTTCTATTTCACTGTTAGCCGTTACTGCTTCCACTGGAAGGCTATTCCATGTATCTACTACAATTTCTATAACACTGCTAGCCTTTACTGCTTCCACTGGAAGGCTATTCCAGGTATCTACTACCATTTCTATATCACTGTTAGCCTTACTGCATCCACTGAAAGGCTATTCCATGTATCTACTACAATTTCTATAACACTGCTAGCCTTTACTGCTTCCACTGGAAGGCTATTCCAGGTATCTACTACCATTTCTATTTCACTGTTAGCCGTTACTGCTTCCACTGGAAGGCTATTCCATGTATCTACTACAATTTCTATAACACTGCTAGCCTTTACTGCTTCCACTGGAAGGCTATTCCAGGTATCTACTACCATTTCTATATCACTGTTAGCCTTTACTGCTTCCACTGGAAGGCTATTCCAGGTATCTACTACCATTTCGATATCACTGTTAGCCTTTACTGCTTCCACTGGATCTTCTACCCTTGAAATACAGTAGAATATTCTCATATTAGCCTCTCTTTTTCCTCTTCCTCCTTTTCGTTCTAGTTAAACACAGCATCACTCAGTATCCCTCTGATGTTCCATACCATTCACCATTGTGATCAATGTGGAAGCTGGAGTGTTAAGTCTGCACAGATGAACAGCACCTGTGATAACAGACACGTATAACATTCCTCGTCTGGGTTAGATATTCACAGCTAGTAGGGAGAGCCTCAGGGAAACACAAAGCAATGTCAGCACGAGCCGCGCGATTTCTTGCAATCCACCTCCTGTCGACTCCAAGTCCTATCAGCCACAGACATATACTTCAGCCATAAATGTTCGCTGTGGAATTTTACTTTTTCAAAAATATATTACCGGAAAATAAAACAGCCAGAAAAGTTCCCAGCAACGAAAAAATGCCTAATTAAATCCATGCATGTTTTCATTTGTGGTACATCTACTAAACAGTGCTTTTTAGTATCATTATTATTTTAATTATTTAAATTAATTAGTTATTATTATTATTATTTTTTGTTTTGTTTATTTGGGTTGAACACCAGTCTAGGTTTTGCCAATGAAATGGGATCGAGGCCATTATTAATCAGTTTTGGGAATATGTTTTTCATACTCACACAAAAAAAGTGTATACGAGAATGAAGACCTCAATTCTAAAATCCAACTTGTTTGATGAGGTTCTTACCAATCAGTGTGACCATATCATAAGTGTGCAACGTTTCTCTACGATAGAGCAAATACTGACTGAAATTGCTGTCTGCTGGTTGAAAACACTGGTAATTTGAAATAATCCCACAATGTGTGTAGCGTGCTTTCTGTGGGCTTTAGAATTAACTTGTTTTCTACCCAACCAATTTCATGAAGTTGGTATTGTGTTGCCCGGTGATAATGAAATAGGGATGTGCATCGGCAAAAACTTTGGTTTGGTTTGGCACTTCTGAAATTCGGAACTTCAGCAGTTCTGAAATTCAGGACTTCGGCAATTCGGGGCTCCGGCACTTCAGTTCAGCACTTCCGATATTCAGGACTTCGTAAATTCGGCACTTCGGTTCGGCACTTCTGAAATTCGAGAATTCGGCAATTCGGAAATTCGGCATTTCGGCAATTCAGAAGCATCCTAATGTCCGAATTGCCAACATTCGCCCGAATTTTAATTTGCACCGAAACAAATTGCACGTCTAAATGAAATACTTACCTTTCCCTTTCCAACCCGTGGGCATTCTGGCCAAGCTGGTAGCCAAAACTCGCAAGTTCTAGTAACAGTGTTATTCACTAAAGTGTCAATAGTTGACAATTAAAAGTAAATCAAAACCAATCAGGCCAAAATAGCCAAAGTGAAAACATTTCTAACTCAGAGAGGTTTCCAAGTTAGCTGTTAGGGCTCACAGCTTGCAATTCACTTTATATTCCTGACAATTTAAACCTGATCAGTGTCTCTACCAAACGCAGGATGACTAATTATGAAGCCTTTCTTCCTATGCATCGTAAGAGAGCCTACGAGGTTCACTATTACAGCACGGCAATGCAGAACACAACTAGGTTTTAGAAGGTAGAACTAGAAGCAACAAGGACATTTTGCTCTATTAACATATTTCAATATGGAATGTCACCCAGAATACAACTCTTTTAGAGCCAATTTTTGGCTAAACCATGTACACACTCCCAGTGAGCAAAACACTCACACTCAATACTTTCTCCTTTTAAAAGTAACAATCTCCAATGTTTTCTTTTCCCCTCTGGAAAGTCCTTACGCTATTCGTATGAATTTAGATTCATAGAAATTCATCTTTGAAAGTCCAACCACAAATAAGTGGGAAACCACAGCCTTGCTGCTCTCTATCTCTTGGTCCAAGTCTCAGGGCCGGCAATATCCATTCATTCTATTTTCCCATGAGTCACGTTGTTAGATAGGTGCCATGTGACGTGGTCATATGCTGAGAGTACCCTGCTCTGCACTAAAACAGTTTAGTAATTTACTCTTTTCTTAGTAGTTGGGACAGAACTATACCAAATGTAATTGTCCCTTGTCATTCTTTATTAGAAAGCAATACATAACGTTATTTATACATTTGGTTCAACACATACAGGAGGACAAATGCCACATCAGGAAGAATGTCCTGATAAAAGATTTGCGTAACCAAGTCTAGACCAAGGGTAGGCAACCACCGGGCCGGCACTCCAGATGTTGTGGACTACATGTTCCATAATACTTTTTTTAGCCATAATTATGGCAAAGCATCAGGTGAGATGTAGTCCTCAACATCTGTAGTGCCGGAGGTTACCTACGCGTGGTCTACAAGAAAACCATAGTATATGATTTTAACAGAATCGTGAACCCATTTTCTTTTTTAAATTTAGAGATGAGTGAAGAAAATAATCAGTGTAAGCTTTATACAATAATTCTAGAAGTGATATCTCTATGGTACTTACCTTTCACCGCCTACTAACAGCACTTGTTTAGTGAAGGAATCTAAGAAGGCAGGAACATTTGCTGTGTCTCCTTCTGCATATTTGCTGATAAATGTAAGGGGCCTCCAAAATTCTCATACTTTTTCAGCAATTGAACCCACAGGTATATATAACTCCTTTTTATAGGGAAAGCGGCAGTGTATGGTCTACAGATTTGATACCTAAGGGAACGCTGAAGCGTTAGGAATATAAACCTGTATTACTAATGCTGTAGTGCTCTTATCCCTAGTGGTATTAAAGGGACACTAGTAACCGGAATAACAAAAGATTATTATCTATTTGTTCTGGTGAGTATAGTCTGTTCCTGCAGGTTTTTTTTAATGCAAACACAGAGAAAAGGCAGTGTTTACATTACAGCCTAGGGACACCTCCACTGGCCACTCCTCAGACGGCCACTAGAGGTACTTCCTTGGTCAGTGCAGGTCAGTACTTTGTCAGTGCAGTGGAAGCAACCCTAGTGACCGTCAGTGTAACAATTTTAAGGGAATAATCCCCTAACTAGACTCTCTATCTCCAGATATTATGGGGATATGAAAGCACTATATAAATATATACAGGGTTAGTACAAACCATTATGTGCCAACATGTTCATCAACGGGCATATACAACTGACAAGAGGCCATCCATTGAGAGTGGAATAAAGGAGATTTTGCTTACTGCAGAGGAAAGGGTTCTATACAAAACTATATAACTGTGGAATTCTCTACCCAAAAAGGTTGTCTGATCAAGTTCTCTAGGTATATTTAAAAAAAGGCCTGGATGATTTTATATTTTAGAAAATCAAAATATTCAAGGATTGTTGATCCAAGGAGAAATCGGACTGCTATGATGAAGTCAAGAAGGATTTCCCCCCTTTTTGTGGTGTAATTGGCCATTACTCCAAATTGTTTTATTTATTTTTTTGCCTTCTTTAAGAGCGACAGCATAAATAGATGTGTTTTAAAAGGTTGAACTCTAAAAACTTGCACCTTTATTCAACTTAGATTACTATGTAATATGGGCCTTCTCTCAATTCTGGGGCAAAGTGCTAAAAGTGGTGCCATAGTCAATAACATTCCCATGTTCCCTTGTTCCCATGGTGGCTGTTACACTTTTAGAATTTCTACGTATTAAGAAACCACTATGGGATCCCACAATAGTACCCAATTCACTTTGCAACTTAAATGGAAAGAGCATCGCAGCCTGTGGCTTTATTCAATATCCATTGTCCTACTGCTCAAACTGCCTCGAGGGATCAATAGCTGGCCATTTGAATCCCTTTGTGTATACTTGTAGGGTGTTATAAATGAGTGTTTTATGAGGAAGTACTATAGAGTTTATGTGCTAAAAAGGGGATGCAAACAAACTTTCCCTAAGGTTTATTTATTTATTTTTAACATTAAATACATTGAGGATAGGACAACTTGGTTTAACCCTCTGCCATGTGCCTTCTGATTAGACTATTGGCTTCTGGAACACTCATCTTCTCTGTGCTCTGTAGATCATCCAAAATTAAGAAGGGAGAAGAGGCAACCACTCAGTGGAAACACATGATGCTCAGTCGGAGGAAGTCTGAGCAAAAGTCATTTTAAAACTCACACAATTATTCATTAAAGTGTGCGTTGTCAGGAATTCAAACTGAATTTCACCTCTTAGGAAAAAATGGCCAAAGTGAATATATAGCTGATTTGGAGAATGTTTACAATTAGGCTATATTGGCCGTAAATTCTAAATTGACTTTGAATCTGTACTCCTAATTTGCTCGTGCATTAAGTACATAAAGCTTCTTCTTTGTATGCAAAGTATTTTCCTGAGAATAAATTATATTTATAAGAAATAGCCGTTCACATAGTTTCTTTGAATTTTTGAGATTGTGTAGTAAACATATGCTCTATAAATTTCACGTACCATAATTACCACATAGTAGTTCTGGTGTCAGGAGGGCCCTCGCAGTCTACCAAGGTAAGTAGGTCAACAGTTTGACAACTTACCAAGCTTCTTTTTCTCAGCTGACCTCTCAGTTAATAAGCCGACGCTGTACGGCAGGGCTCAGCGTATTAGAGCTGAAGAAGCTCCTTGGCAGACCCCCGGAAAGTTGTCAAACCATTAGCATGCTGGGAGGGCGCCAGGGCATTCTTGACACCATAAACAACAACAACAAGCTAAAGCGTGTTCCTTTAACCATTTTAGTAAAATATTAGTCAACTAAAATTTTTGAGATTTAGCCGACTAAAACTAAAAATATTCAGATGACTAAAATATGACTAAAACTAAAATGGCTTTTTAGTCAAATTTAACATTGCACAGAAGGGCTATAGAAGGGGCAAAAGAGACAGACCAGGGTTTGAGAGAGACACCTCGAGCTGCTGGGAGGACACAAAGAGACACAGAGCGGCTGGGGAAGGGGCAAAAGTTACAGATAGAGGCTTTAGTTAAACCCATTAGATTTTAGTCGTGTTGACTAAAATCTACCAGAGACTTAGTTGACTAAAACTAAAACAATTCAGATGACTAAAATACGACTAAAATTAAATGGCTTTTTAGAAAAAAGACTATGACTAAAAATAAATTAAAATTTGCCGACAAAATTAACACTGTTCGAGACAAACAAATGGCAACTCAATCCCCTTAATGTGTTTGATCTAACTCCCTTGATACAAATTAGGGGAATTGCAACCTTTACCCAAGGTACCCTAATGCTACCTGCAAAACCCCCCATATCCTATTTAAATATACCTTTGTCCTAAATTGCCCAACCCTACTTGTACCTTAGTGCCATTTGTTTTTTTTATAGCAGCATTATATATCTGGCACCCATTTGGCTAAATGCAGTTTCAATTGAGTCAGTTTTTTTTCAGGCAAGCAGGAATGAATTGACCTGAATGAAATTGTCAGAATTTGCTAAGCGGTGTGAGTAAAGATGAATAAGATAAAGGTAGGTTTGGGCCAGTTTGTTCCCTATCCTGGAATAGTGGAGCCAGTACAGAGCACTCTACAAAGCATAGATAAAAAGGATGAGTGGGGCTGGATCAGTGTGGATTTGTGGATTAGTGGCAGAAAATTAAGAAATTGAAAAATTAGCTCAAATCTCTGTTTATTATTGCGTCCTCTTATGTTATGTTTAAGGCTCTGTCCCGCACACTTAAAGATTTGCATAATCTTAATGAGTTTAAGAGGATCACCTTTTACCCTGCAGCAATTTATAATAAGGCCAAAAAAACACTGTAGTATCCTCATGATTAAATGGAAAACCGCAGACTTCTGGGGTTTATTCACTAAGCTGCGAAATTTCAGATAAAATACTTGAGTTGGGAAAAAAATAACCAAAAAATATAAGGCCCATATTGTGCAATTTGGATACCACTGCACTACCCGATCACTGCTTAGTGAATACTCCTCTTGGTACATAGTAGTTTTTAGTCCAGACAGCTGGTCTGGGTCGCCCTCACTGGGCCTCTGCCCCTAAATAAAACAATGATCTTATTATTTCACATCACTGGCAAAGGGGGCGGGGGTGTTGGGAACCAGAGACACACAACAATATAAAGTATTTCATGTACATTATTGGAGAGCGTTGCTTTTCCTATCATGTTTATCTTACGATTAGAGCGGTGTACACATCTAATGCTGTGGATACATACAGATCAAGATGTCTTACTTCATTGATATTTAATAGTTTACATGTAGACAACAAAAATTCCCATAAATTTCTCTGCAAGAAAGGAATGGCTCATTCCCACGGAGTGTAAGGAAATGTTAGACCACATATAATTTTAGGGGGCCCACCAGTGCAAGTGCTTATTTCTCCTTATACAATAGATTAACTTGTCTTCTGTTTTCAGGAATAGAACCCAATTCAATGTCCTCTGACGTTATAAGTCAACGTATCGATTAAAATATTCCTATAAATTCACTTGTTTAGGAAAGCATGGTAACTTAAGAGTTAATTTCTCTCTCTCTATAAAATTCTACCCGACTCGTCTATTACACGCATCCTTTGCATACCATAACATTTATATATACTTTATTTTGTTAGTGCACCAATCAGTCTTCCCTTATGCTGCACTTTAACCTCTCGTATAATTAGAGCTCTCTTCGTTTAGACTGTATGTTCATTTGATCAGGAATCTCATAACTGCCTTTTACATATACCATGCTTATCTTAGTTTATTCATTGTAGAGCGCTGCGGAATGCGTTGGAGTTTAAAAAAATATATAATTTAGAAAGTTACTGCAGGTTCTTTAGAAAAACACACATTGTGTGACATTACGCATATGTAAACGGTAAACTCCTTTGTATTTTCTCATGTTTAGCCCACTCTTCAATCACCTTTGGATATCTTACACTATATAATAACTTGGTTTATAGTTGTGATTGTGCTATAATAACTCAGGGAATTGTCTGGTTCCTGCACTGATGACAATCCCTATTCTTTATAATCAGACTGATTATGGCAAGTTGAGTCTCACTTTATGAAATATTTGTACGTCATCTGTCTTTATTGCCTCCACTCTGCTCAGGGGAGGGCCGGCAGGGGCGCATTTGCTTCCAGCGCCACTAGCCTAGAGAGTAGGCTGCTGCCTCACAGCACAGTACTAAATACATTTGGTAATTATATTATTATTATAATCTAGAAATCGCCAACAAACTCTGTAGCGCTGTACAATAGAGTCTTTGTTTTTTTCATTTATCGTAGTGTTAATATTACAATTAATATAAAATGAAGCGAGGGAGTGGAGCTTGCTGAGACAGTGTGCTGATTTAACCTTTAATTGGGCTAGTTGTTTGCAGCCCTCCACTGACTCTGCTACATTCTATCTCTTATATCTTAGCTCTTTTTTAGCCCAAGTCCTTTGTCAAAACAGTGTCATTGTTGGTACTTACAGAAGTATTGAATTATGGGATTGGAAGTCCTGTTTACAGTCATCTGCAAAGTAATTTATCCCTAATCTCATTCAGTAAACCATGATGAATATTGTGGATTGTTGTAACATTCCAAACTGTGATAGTAAATAAACATATGAGATAAGCATAGGGGTATCAAGAAATAAAGACAGTAGGGCCAGGATTCTAGAACCTGTAAAAATGTGCACACAGTGTGGGTCAAGCAGTCCTTATCTCACCAGGGGCTAAACTGTTCTTATCTCTATATGGGCCCAGAAGGTCCTATCTCTATAGGAGTCACGATGCTTTAATCTACCATCAGACTGTCTCTATCAGTGTCCCCCAGACTCACTTCATAGTTAACCCCAATGCACCAATACAGGCTGTAGGCTTACAGCTATATCTGTTGCTCTCACAGCTGTGACAACCAGAGACGTGTAACATCTGGCACAGCAGCTGCTCTGATGAACAATCAGCATTCTCGTCCAATCTGGCTGAGGATGATAGCAGCTGCAGGTCACTGGATTTACAGATGTTTCAAAGGCTGGCTTAGAGTGATGGGAAAATAATAGGTGATGTTCCAAGGTTTATGGGATAATAAAAGAACACGTACCAAGGCAACTGCTGCAACAGTTCAATACATTCCTGTGTACTGAGTGTGATGGGAGTTGTAGTGGGGAACAGGTGTTGTGAAAGAGCTGTTTATTTATTTCTGTAATCCCTGCTGATAACTGTTTATTTTATCTGCTAACTGGAAGATGAGCTGTGGGTTGTGTGGGTGTGGAGGGTGTGATGTGATCTGAAATGGGTCACCCTGGCTGTGTGGGTGGGTGTTTGTGATTACCATGGCAACAGGCCCTTTAAATCGTAATAGTTCCAAAAGTCAAATTCCAGCATTATGTCACCCAAAGAGAAATGAGTAAACTACTTGTGATTTCCTACCCTGATTCCTGCTATCTTATTTATAGAAAGAAACCTATCCATTCTGTGTCAGAGTCTGTGACACACCCAGCATCCCAGCCTAGAGGGGCGTCACTCCTGGTCTCACTTGTAGCCTCTAACCTCAAATAACTCAGTTTGGGCACTGGGGATATACACACTCACAGCCTGGATCTGCTGCTGCCTTGGCTTTCTATAACCAGAACTCTGGTGGAGACTCAATTACTCACCTTGGAAGCTTGCACTAAGTAAGTCTTTAATAGAATATTTTATCTTCACCATCTCATCTTCAAGATAATTTGCTTTCTGATCTAACAGATCTGGGGGAAAGGGGGAGAGGAGGGGGGATTGAAGAATTTTATTTTATTTTATTTATTTTTTGTAACAAAAAAATGCAACTTTTCCAAATTGATCCAGTAAATATTTACATTGTGTCTGTGCTAGTTCTAACGTGTCTGTTGTTACATGTAACACAAGAGATATTGCAGAACACACATTGGCCCATTGAATGCTCCTGCATGTCTAAAATACAGAATATCTTAATCCATTCTCATCTACCCACCTTTTAGCCACATTTCCATTTTGTTTATTTTTTATTCTGTTTACATTGTGCAGAGAGAATATTTTATTATGAGTATAGTGAATAGCTAAAATTATATATATTTAAAAATAAACAAAAAAATCTCTGAAAAAAAATGTAAACTATGATGTAAGGTGGGTTGTTTGTGGTATGTGTACTGCAGATAACGGTAGGTACACACCCATCGCATTATGGCTTTATAGCCTCTGTGAACTATTATAGCTCTGCAGTAAGCAGTAATTCTATTTCAACATGATTCATTATATTTTAATTCGTGTTTTGACATGCTATATGTTATCTAATATTTCTGTTTCGAAAATATGTATTGCATGTTAGATTAATGGATTTTTACCGATATATAAACTGCCTAGAATCCCCCTCCCCTCCCTTCCCCCCTCTGAAAATTAATTTTGCATTTAACCTACTTGGCTACATTGAAAAAATGTCTAGGGTTTATCTAACCAGATTCCTGGGAATATTTATACAGAGGTTATGATTTTTGTATTATGTCTAACCACAGGACAGACAGCACACACAGCCTGTGATTTACAAAGTTGGGAATGATGCAATTTGTGTACAGTCTGTACCCCTTGCTACATTACACGAGATCCGAGGAAGATCCCTTTAGTTTAGATACATAGAAGGTTTTACAAAATAAATCGTTATAAATGGGGAATAATATTAAATAATGCTTGCAGAATTACTTGGGAAGGTTATCAAGACTTATTCTCTTAATAGATCTTCACTAATGTTGTTGCTTTATGGCCTTGCAGAATTACTGTCTATATACCCCAAATTCCCCCCCATCCCCCCCTTTAAGTTTTTTTTTTCTTGTGATCTTAGTGTCCAATTTCAGACAGACTGCACCCTTTCAGGAACCCAGACACAGCCCTAGTGGTTTCCATAGACCCAGCTTAATTCTTACATTCTTATCAATCCCATATGTGATTCTTCAAAATAAATAAAGTTCAGAAAGTAGTAGGATTTCAGCAGATGGGAGCTCCTGTGGTGGATATTCTGGGTGTGTTAAGGGGGGAGGTGAATTATTATTATTATTATTATTTTTTTGCTTTTGAAAAAAAGTCCCATTTATATATTCTGTAAGGTTATCCCAGTAACGTGTGGTGGAAGAGGCCAGGTAGGCATTTTGCCAAAGGGAAAAAAAGTGTGACTAACCCATTGAGTGCCACTAAGGATAACATGTATGTTAGATAGAACACCATCACCCTTGTGTCTCAGAAAAATATTGATGCTTAAGGGGAACACAGACATTTTAAGGGGATAGATCTACACCAGCCTAAACTGTAAGGTTGTGCTAATTCATTCAACTCCAAAACTGAAGAGAAAAAAAATAAATAAAATAATAAATTTAGCAGAAACATAACACAAGTTTAATCAGACTAGTGTTAAAACAAATTGTAAATGAATAACAAACAAAAAAATAATCAGATCAAGATAAGAAATAGAGAGGGTGTAGATTGCAGCATATCTGCCTCTTAAAGGGTTAAAGAAAATGAAATCCATTCTTATTAAATAAAAAAATAAACACGTTCCAACTCCTATAGCCTGATGGCCAGGCTCCCCCTACCGTCCAATGAAAGTTGATCATGTGCTGACACACCCTTGTCTGAATCTAGTCTAACAGTCCCAAGCCTCTACTTTACTCTGGAAGTTCTGCTTGGAGGAATAAGGTCTAGAAAAGGGGACATATTGTATTAAAAGTGGGATTTATTTATTTTTTATCCTCTTTAGGAATCCTCAAAGACTTGATTGAAGATGCTTGTATTACTCCTTGGAATCATTATTCTGCACATTGCAGTCCTGGTCCTGTTGTTTGTATCTACTATAGTTAGTGTAAGTATAATGTTTGTAAATAAACTGCTAGAACACTCAGTGTATCTGTAAACCATAGCAACTATATCACTTTGTATATGTTTACTTTAGAGCTTGTTGCATTTTTCTTTTAATATTATTTCTGCTCTGTGGATTTATTAATTGTTCATGGCGACATGAGTACTGCAGTTTTTAGACCAAATTAGAAATTATGTCTGTTAAATTTTCTATTTTGGATATTTCGCCTAAAAACTTGGGATTCCTTTGTTAATTTTCTGTAGTTGATAATCCATAACGTGTGTCTAGATTAGATTATTTCATTAACAGCTGGAAAGGTTAGAATAAGAGAGAGAGAGAGTGTTTGTTTTTGTGTGTGTGTGTGTGTGGTTGTGTGTCTGTGTGTGTGTGTGTTTGTGTGAGCTGTCATGAAGTAATATTATACATTTATGGTTTTTAGGTTTTAAGGAAATTCAGGAATGATTAGAGTTCTGTAACTAGAAAGATGATGGCTCACTTGGTTAATGTACCAGTTGTGACCTCAACATCCTAGCATTCCTAGGTCAATAACTTGCATAGCATTGTGTAAGAAATATCTCAGAGCTTCCTTTGTGAAATACAAACTTTGATTATGTTTACAATGCTAGCTATAGTGTTTAAGCTTTTGATACATTCTGGCCTTTTTCATGCTTTTTTACCTGTAGAACAAAAATGTACGTGTCTGGTTTTGTCGTTTTGTCTTTTGTCACAAGTGACAAATATATTATTTATAACTATGTATAAGCAAAGAAAAAAAAAAAACAGTTCATAATTTTTTTCTACATAACCGTAGTTCAGTAACTGGTCGTAAATAATTTATACGGCGCAGTCATGTTAATGTATTTTCCAGATGAACGTTTAAACAGAATCACATTGTGCTGTGAGGTGTCGGTTGAACATATGGCTAAACTTAGTTTTTCTCAAGGAAAAAAAAAGGCCAGAGTGCGTTTTCAGTTGATACTTTGGAAGGGAGAAAATAGAGGGGCATAGGCTACATCTGTGAATGGGTTTATCATAGGTTTGCAAGCTTTGAACACTCCCAAAATCCATGCAACCTCTGGGAGAGGAGACAGTGGGCACTATAATGTTTTTACCATGCAGAGGGCTGGGGCGGGGGAGAATACTCCCTGTTAACCCCTTTGCACCTGCAACAAATGGCTTCACTTGTATTTGAGAATGAGAGTGATCTCGGTCATATCCTGTTGATTCTACATGTAGAATAAAACCCACATTGATTGATGTTGTGAAATGAGCCAGGATAGTTTTTAATTAAAGAGCTGCTTATTGAGGCCTACTGGCTAAAGTAAATTTGGTGTGGGCGGCAAAAAAAAACAGACTTAGCCAATGTCTGCTCTGCAGTTAAATTAATTTGTGTGTGTATAAATGCTGGGGATGTTAGTGTTAACACAGTCCAGTTGAAATGTTTGTTTGTTGACGTGCACCGAATGACGTTTTGTGAATACCGAACGCATCTGTCATCAGGTTGCCCATTGCCAAGTGTGTGCTTTTTGTACATATACAGCCCAAAATGTACAAAGGATATACAGAGTGATAAAGTACCTGGAGTGTCAACGTAAGCCTAGTCTTGTTCTTGGTGTAGACTTGATGAACACCCTAGGTGTTCATATTTACTCCATAGTATTAAAGGAAAGATTTCCTATTGCATCTTTCTCTGACGTGTAATTGTCAGTGGAAGCCATCTGATAATGAGGAATAATGTGTTCCTGCTTGGTAGATCTTAGGGTGGGGCAGTCTAAGGGCACCTTCCGCCTGTTACAGTTGGCAGTGCCATATGGCATTGTGCTCGTGCCCTCTTGGGTAGCTTAAAGGTCAATGAACATACAATAGAAAAGGATGGGTTATTCGTAACCTTATACATTTGCCAGGTATGCAACATTCTGCCCACCATCTCTGCAAGTCCACCCTCACATAGGAAATTTGAGTTATTTGCTAGTCATGATACCTTAAAACAGAGACACCATACAATATTTTGGTAGCCCACATAAAAGCATGGTACTTGGGTATTGTTATTAGACTGCTGGGATTTCAGTCATACCTAGTCCGGCTGTGTACTGCAGCATGAAAGGGCCTCTCGTTTGTTGTGTTCTCCTAACTCTTTGGACTTTCTTCTTCCTTTACCAGAGCTGGTTGGTGGGCAACAACTACTCAGCGGACCTTTGGCAGAACTGCAGTGTGACAGCGACTAGCACCTGGCAGTGTCTGTCAGCCTCCAACAATGGTGAGTGATCAGTGATGGGGCTGGCTGACTATCCCAACATTTCCAGTTAAGGTGTTGGGTTCCATTGCAAGTGGTCCCATAGCGATAGAGGTTGAGGAAAGAATCAAGTCAAGTGCATCAAATACATTGTTTCACACATCCCTGCATCTGCTGTTGATCCAGAAGAAGGAAGTTAGTTTGAAAATAAAAGACACAAGAAAAATAAAGTTCGACCTTTATAATTAGCCTTGTTTGTTGATCCAGAAAAAGCAGTAAACTATTTTAACACCAACCAAACCTCTAGGTCTCGAAGGAATAAAATACATCTTCGAGACTCCCATGGTAATGGGATCATTTGTGTGTTTGTGTGTTTAGTCCCAGCCTCCTTTGGCACCTTGGTGTGTAAGGATTCAGCAACGGTTGCCCATAATGTCAGTTCTTTGACACAAGAGTAAGGGCATGCACCACAAGAATGTCCTCTTGGGAGCCGGTGAACAGTTAAGCACTCTGGAGTTTATTTCAACTGCCTGCCCTTTCAGATTCATAAACATAACTTGGATAAATATAGAGTTATAGTGCAGTTACTTTCAGCTTGGCTCTCGTGTTTCAGAGGCCTGAAGATCCCTTTATCACATCTGGTTTCTGGGTGGTAATGTATCATGGCAGCTCCTTGTGTCCAAGCTCCCCCTTGTGGTGAAACAGTGTACCTGCAGCTCAATTAAACTCGAATTGACAGAGATACACTTGTCATTCAACTGTAGGCGCTAATAATGTGATAAAAAAAAATCTTAGAAGAAAATAGTATATAATATATTTTAGCTGTCTAATTTTTGCTACATGAGGATTTTAAAAATTAGATGACGTAGAGATCCTGAAAGATATCAACTTGTAGGATCCTCTCTTATACAAATTCCGCACAATGAGTCCTGTTGAAAGATACCATGCCAAGCCAAGGAAGCTCCCAAATGTTTAATTATACCCACGATATCGGAGTTTCACTAAACTGTGAGCTCAGAAATGTTCACTGTTAAAATGTAGAACTCACGCCAGAGTAACAAGGGTTTGAAATAAATTCAAATTTGCACAATCTGTTCAGCTTGTCATACTGTTCAGTTAATAATCATTGGGCTCTTATACCCATCGGTGACTTTTATAATTGAAGAATGAGTACAAGCACCTTCCGTAGGAAAATGTATAGACAAGTCAATTTCAAAACGTCACCTTGTTACTGACCCCAGGTGTTAGGAAGTCACCCCTTCCCAGTGCTGATGGGCCATTAATCAGTTTAGAATCAGTGTATTTATTAGGAGTAATATGGCAACAATGAAATCTACAGGGCTTGCAACATATCGCTAGGTGTCTGGTGGCTGTACATGAGATCCATAGGGAGGCAGTAGTGAGATCCTCTGTGTTCTATGTCTCAGCTTTCCAAAACTAAAAAGTATCAACCAGTTCACGCATCCTTATACCCTCCGATACACTATCGCTGCTTCTCATTTTAACATGATAAATTAGGATTTTAGTGTTATTGAGGGGCTGGCTTGACAGGTGTAGAGGGACACCTCTCAAAGTAAAGAGAGATCAAAATCTCTCTTTACTTTGTCGATTTTATTTTTCTAATTTAGAATGTCTTGTGTGTTTTAATGCATTAGACTTCTAAGTAAGAATGACACTGTGTGTTTAAAATTGTAGTTTAGAAAAAGCAAACATACTGAAAACAGTTGGTTCTGGGGTCACAATAAAGATACTGAATAGTTCCGCCTATTGGTCTCACCTCCAGACATAACCTTTAAAACACACTTGTTTCCGTTTGGTAATTTAAACGTTGTGAGATTTAGTGGGGCCTGTAAATCCAGTCATGCCATGGGCAGGCACAAATACTGCTATGCATTGAATTGTGGGAATGCATCCCATGTATTGACACAGAAGATGTTAAAGCCTTTTGCCAAGCCAACAGGGTATAGTTATCTCCCTATCTATATACCTTTTGGTCACAGTATCGTTTGCCAAAATGTTTTAGCTTGTGAACACAGTTTAGTTTGTTCAACTTTTAAATGTAAATTGAAGTTATGTGGCAATGGTAGCTCCCTTAAAATTAAAAAGACACTATAGTCATCAGAACATGACTATATCAGCTTATTAGTAGAGGTGGTTCTGGTGAGTATAGTCAGTGCCTGCAGCCTTTTTGCAGTAAACATTGCATTTTCTGGGAAAAGGCTGTGTTTCATTGGAGCCTATGAAACCCCTCTAGTGGCCACTTCTCAGATGGGAAAGCATTGGATTAACTGAGATGATCAATTCTGATGATGTCAGCCAAGGCGGCGGGGCCAGCGCCTGCAGACCTGCAAAGTGCTAGAAATAAGGCGTTTGTGTTCCTGACCCTATACTGTTCTTTTAAGGGTGTTGAAAATCAGCTATGGCCTTGAGGAGGATTATGGGAATTGTAGTCCAGTATTATCTGCAGTTTGGCACTCCTTCTCTAAATGTCCACCCCAAGTTTCAGTGAATATTCTCTTCCTAGGCGAGAATTGAATTCTTGGTAGTTCTCGAACAAACACTTCTTGGTAGTTCTTGAACAAACACTACCCTAAGCTCTGTGAAGTATATTTTACAAAGACCTGTAATTGTATAAAAGAAATATTTAAATAATAGCACACTGAGATAATGAATAACTGTGAGTGTATCGTCCAAGCCTCCAAAGGGTTATTTTAAGCTGTATACAGCCAGCAGACAAGAGAATGAGAGATATGTTTGCACTCTTTATTTGCGTTGCCCTCATACCTTAGGCCAGGCCATCACTAAGGTCCGCACCCTGTCTAAGGGGTGGGAGGGGCTTTAAACTAGGAAGACAAAAAATACAAAGTGAATAATTGAGAATGCTGACTGATGTGTCTGGGGAACGTTCTTTGGACTCAAATGATCTTATGAGTGAGCCACAAGATGATAGGAAGCTACATTGACTTGACTTGTGCTAGCTACTGGGTACATGGGTATTACTGGAATTGTCATGCTCAGAATCAATTGACTCAAGGATTTGGTGATGGTACGCACTTCTGTAGCTCCCTGAGTGCCAAGCTGGTCAGAAACCAAATATAAAAATTTTGGCATGTTCACAGATCATCCACAACCCTGAAAAATCTCATAAGCCAAACGATTACCTAAAATTGTAGGCTTCAAAATGAAGAAAGAAAAAAAAAAAAATTCTGTTAGTATATTCATAAAAGGTCTTTTACAATTTATAGTTGCAAAGTTATTTAATGTGACCCTGGAACACCCATTCTCTTAATAGATACCAAGATAATAAGTACAGACCAATGCCAGGAACTCTCAGACAGCCAGTATAATGGAAAAATGAGGCCCCAGCAATTAGCTAGATGCTCAGATACTAAATAATTCAAGGGTTGTGTTTCTATTACACAGGGATTTTCTGAGTATTCTGCCAATGAGATTATTAACAAGGCAGTTATAGAATAAAAGCATTGCAGAAGGGATTTGAATAGTTGATCGGCAGTTAGGGAGAGGGTGTACATGGGATATTTAGTTTTTATTTTATTATTTTTTTACCCAAGAAACAAAATGCATGTGTATTATGATATCAAAAATATTAAAAAAAAAAAAAAAAAAAACACTTGCCAGAAGCAAAGAAAATTGTCAACTTCAAATTTTCTCTGCACTTATATCTATTAGTTTAGAAAGAGGAGAGTACAGAGTTCACAGATTTATAGAAGGGATCCTTGGAGATTCTTACAAACTAATTTCCTTCCAAGTCCATCAAAAATGTAAAAAGGAAAACAAGTGGCAGGTAATCGAAATACAATCCTCTGTAGTCCATGTCATTACTCTTGAGATATTCATTCAACGTTCCTTCGAGAACTCAGATCTGGACGTTCAAAGAGTTGGTCTTCCAAGCAAGTTCCAGTGCGTACAATAAATACATTAATTGAAACGGTGTACAATGGACGTAAAAGAACCCAAGAATCACATAATGACCTGATCATCACAATGACCAACACTTTAAACCATTTTAGTACAAATCACTGTGGAGAAACATTCAAACTTTTCCCATCTTTGCTGAAGGACACTTTACATCATCTTCAGTTGGTTGTTGAGAGAGCAGTGCTTATAGGAGCCATGAATGGGAATAAAATCAACTGATACAGTGCTGTGAATGCGAATTCCATACGTTAAAGTCTCCAGACAGTATTTGCTATTAGGCTGTGAAGTGTTTCCTCTTATGTAGACTGATCAATATGTGTCTTTCCTTTTCCAGAGTGGCTCCAGTCAGTCCAGGCCATGATGATCCTGTCTATTATCTTCAGCGTTCTGTCTTTGTTCCTGTTCTTCTGCCAGCTCTTCACACTGACAAAAGGTGGAAGGTTCTACCTAACGGGACTCTTTCAGGTGCTTGCTGGTAAGTAGCATTATATCCTTCCTTTGTACCCACCCGCCAGTACAAGTTCTTAAACTGGTTGGGGTATAAACAGGTGCCAAAGAAATCTAAAGCGATGAGTAGATTGAAATATGGTATTGGCTAGATCTGAAGAAAACCAGTTGAATTAGGCAATAGCTTTATGTTAGGTAAACAATGGAGAAAATAAAGAATGTGACATTTTTGTGCAAAGTGCAGATCATTGCATTAATTAAATTTTTGGACCCAAGAGTGTCACTGCTGAGTGAGTTAAAGGAACTTGCTAAAGTGCATTATGTGTGAGTGAGTGTGCCCTTTTTCATTTTCTAAAAGTATGGATTTCATTAGAAATTTGCACTTTTATAAATGAGCCGTATTACACCTACGGGAGTTCTATCAGGACAGCCGGCCCTGTTACTTTCTGGTAGCTGTAATACAGCTCATTAAGAAGTCTGTTCTAGGGAAGAAGGAAATGGCTTACAGGAGCTGCGGATACTAGTTCTGCAGCTATTACTAACCATGATTTTATATAGCCCCCTAGAAAACCTGCAAAACAAATTATATGCAGATTTTCTTTGGAGGTATATTTGCTAAACATTTTTTCCTTTAAGAAAAGAATAAAACCGCCACCCTTCGAGTTCACTGTGACTATATTTATTTTTGTGCTAAATGCAGGACGTTCTTGTTATAAATATTTTGCTATAAATCTTCCTTTCTGAATGATGTCACTGTTGGAACAGTGAGAAGTGCTTAGTGGCAACACGGTTTAAGTAGAAGACACCCAAGGTTCTATTTTGTACATAAGCTGTTCTGGGAAAGAAGGGAGTGAATTATATAGTCCATTATCCAGATCGCGGATGTCTGCTATGATGTGTCGCCTACAGTGCGTCCTTTGCTCCGCTGACAAAACAAAAGGCTGGATCTCCCGGTTATCAGAGGGCAAGAGATTAAAACCTATTCATTGCTTGTTTAGAAGAGACTGTGATTTGAGCTCAGGATTACAAGTGTGCCATGCTGTTACATAGCAGGCTGATGACTCACTGTAGTGATGGCTATCCTTGCCACAGTAGATGTTTGTTACGAAACGTTAATAATAATAATAATAATAATAGTTCCACGAAGACTGGCAGAGTATCGTGGGAAATGTAGTTTAGTGATGCATCATGGGAATCTGCAGTGACCAGCTGAGGCATCACCATTACTAGAGGCTTTTAATAGTATTGTAGTTGGGCCAGTCCAGGTTAATTGATTGTTCCCGTGCACTGGTGAAGCAGCTTGGAACGGTTGACTCTTACCTTGCTCTGTACTGTTTCCATGGCCCTCCTGACCTGAGTTGGTTTGATAAAGTGTGTTTATACTTCCACATTATCATAGCATGTTCATTGGCCATCAGGTCACACTTAGCCAATGAATGAATACTGTTCAAAATCTGGTATGAATTGGTATGATGATGTGGAAGAATGTACTTCCGCCTTGTCAGGCCAAGTCCAACTGGAAGAATTTTGGGCACCTGACAACATGGTAAGAGTCAAACTGTTCCTAAATGGTTTGACAGATTACTACTGGACAGAACCCGGGGACTTCTGGCACCATAACAACTGGTTATGGTGCCTAGAGTGTCTGTTCAAGGTCTTCAGTTTGGCATCATCACGCACAACTTTAGATTAGTGGATTGCAGCTATTGCTACACATGTGCGTAGCATGAGCCCATCAATTCTGAGGAACTTAAAAGAGATCGAGAAACTGCAGAGAGGAGACACTGAGGCCCATGGCTGGATTACAGGTAAGTTTATTTCATTTTTGATTTGTTTTTATTTTTAATGGTGGCGCCTGAGTCTAAAATAATAAAGGGACATGTGAAGGTTACAAAAATATTCTTGACCTGAGGGTGTTCCATTAAAGAATTGTTTTAGAATTGTGCTAGTGTGCATATATGCACTTTGTTGACATTTTCCAGTCCCTTTAACTAACCAAAACAAAACCTGTAGGTGCCATTGGCAAGGGCTGTATCGAGTGTTTTGTTTTTCGCTGTATCTTGCTGACAGAACCCTTCTTGTCACTAAGTATCGATGTTGGGAAAGTAGGCGCATTGGGCGATGTTGAGAAATTACATGGTTTGCAAAATGCCCACTCCTGCACTTTCTACAAGACAATGGCTGCTGTGTAACAGAGGCATTAGTGCCAGGAAATGTAGGTGCCTTGTAGACTAATCCGAACTCGGTTAAAAAGGAACTGAATATGCTGCAGAATCCACTGAAACAAAGCTGTTATTATAAAATTCATTCTGCAGTAGGCAAGAAAAAAAAAAAAACAACTAAACCCAGTGATCTGGAGGGTTACCTCTCAGTGTAACCAAGTTACAATGTGTACAAATGCCTCTTAAAGGAACCTATCACTGTTCTATTTAGTAACCAGAGCGGATGTCACCTATTATACATGATAACAATACTGGATTGTTTTTGCTCTGTTTATTTAATTAGATTTTTATTAAGGGTTTCAACAATTTCCAGCAAGTTCCGAGGCAAATGAGCAGTGCAAATCTATGCTTAGAACTGTTGTCAAAATCTTAGTGGAACAAGACATTAGAACTCAAGAATAACAGCAGTGAGAGTGTCTGCATGTCTCATTAACATTTAGAAATTATGCAGAGTTGTTATGGTCCTTCGAGTAGCCCTTTTGAAAACTGAAAAAAATGGGTATAAGTAGACACAAATAGAGTAGAAGATAATGTATTAATCAGCTTTATAGCTTACAATTGCCAAATCATTAATGTAATTCTTCTTCTCTGCAGGGCTCTGCGTAATGGCCGGTGCCTCCATCTTCACCGTGCGGCACACGGAATGGCAAACGCAGAATGCCACCGGCTATGGGTTTGCTTACATCCTGGCGTGGGTGGCCTTCCCTCTTGCTGCCATCAGTGGCATCATATATATCATCTTAAGAAAACGTGAATAAACACTGGATGAGATGGAAGACGGGGAAGAAAGAAACGCTAAACAAAAAAAACAAAACGTCAAAAGGGGAACCCAGAGAATTGAATTCAAACCTTACATTACCTCCCCTCACCAAAGAGAGAGTGGTGGGGGCAGGTTCCTGTGTTAATTGAAGATGTAAATAGTATCTATGGTTTAAAAACCTATTTATAACACTTTTTACATATATGTACATAGTATTGTTGGCTTATTTTGACCTTCAGCTTCTGTAAGCTAAAAACAAAAATTTTACGCGTCTGCTACAAAATGATTTTTTGGGGTGTGGACAGCCATTCTAGAGAGGAAAAAAAAATACCAAAAAAACAAAAACAAAAGTAAGATCTAATTTTCTGTGCCTTAAAACAAAATACCAAATACCCACAGTCTTAAATCTCAAGTGATTGTAGCTCGGTGGAGTAAGCCGGAAGGGGGAAGTCACAAGGGACAAAAATGGCTGCCGCAAGTGTGAGAGAGGCATTATAGCACTTCGGCTGTTTTGATGTGAAAAGGGACACTATAATCTATGCTAGTGTTGTTACACAATCTCTGGGTCCATACTGAGAGAGGATAGGACCCGGGTGTCACTTACAAGGGTATCTAGGCTGTGATCCAGCAGACCAGTTGGTCTGGTGGTATAGCGAAAGAAAGTTAAAATACAAAAGCCAGAGAAGACATGAGGTTTGAGAACATCTTCAGTGTACTGTGCTGAACGCAAACAGATAGTACTGTCGAACCTATGAAAAGTTAATCTTTTTTGGGAATAGAACAAGCCAACCATGTTTGATTATTAACATGGGCAAATTTGGGGAAAGCAGTTTGTGGTTAAATGCTATCCCCGCCTAGGGGACGATAATATGGTATCAAATACCAAGCATGTTTAAAACATCATAGTTTGTAGCCATAACTTTATACCCTTCCTAATATCATATTTTGCCTTGTGACCTCATAAAATGGCCCATTTTCCCTTTTAAATTTGTCTTTGAGGGACTTGTACTCTTTGGCACCACAATGACAGTTTATTATCAACCCGATTTGTTACAGATTACAATGTGTAAAAAATAAAAAATAAAAATAAACCCTAAAAGTCTCATAATGAAAATGTTTAACTCATTAAATGCCAGAGGTGAGCAGTTGTCTATTTAATAACTGCTCTACCCCCTAGTACCTAAAGAGTTAAATTAAAGTGCAGTATATATAAATATATATAATTTTTTACCAATGTGCATGTATTATACATATATATACAGAGATATATATATCACAAATGAGGTAGCCAAAGTTGTTTACCAATTGTTTTGTTTCTGAAAAAAGGCAAAAAAAATTTAAAAAACTAAAAAAAAAAAAAATGACAAAGTTTAACTAGAGCGGTCTAATGTATTAATTGTAAATTAGTTACAAGTAGTTCCTTAAAATGGCGGCTAAAAAAGAAAAAAACCAAAGTGGTGCTATAATTAACTTTTGAACCATTCCTTATATTTTAACCTCTGTATAACTTCTGATCCAATAACACTTTTTTTTTTGAGAATAAAACTTTGAAAACTCTGCATTGTTGGCTAAAACGAGTTCTATGTGAATATTTAATAAACAAAAATATGGCTGCTTAGAAGTGCGTGGTGCGTTTAATGTAGATGTGGTGGTTGTGGCTACAATTTGATTGGATGCTTGTGGTGGTCACATGATGTTGGCCCAATAATGCTGCTTGGATGTCTCTATGGCATACTTAAAGGGACACTATAGTCACCAGAACAACTACAGCTTACTGAATTTGTTTTGGTGAGTAGAATCATTACCTTCAGGCTTTTTGCTGTAAACACTGTCTTTTTAGAGAAAATGCAGTGTTTACATTACAGCCTAGTGATAACTTCACTGGCCACTCCTTAGATGGCTGTTAGAGATCCTTCCTGGGTCGTGGCTGCCTGAAAGGCATCCAAACATTCAGTGTCTCCTCCCTCTGCATGCAGACACTGAACTTTCCTCATAGAGATTCATTGATTCAATTCGCAGCCAATCCTATGGGGAAGCATTGTGATTGTAACAGGCTACCACTTCTGATGATGTCAGCAGGCAGTGGGTAAATCTAAAGGAAAAAGGGTCAAAGTATGCAGCTGCAGACTTGAATTCAAGTAAGATTTTACTATATTTTGGGAGGCATGATGGAACCAGGTGGCTAGATGGTGGTTTTAACCCTATAGGGTCAGGAATACATGTTTGTATATAGTGCTCCTTTAAGACTTAAGATCCTGATTATTTAAAGCAGTTTAAACAGCAGACTGATTTAAAGGAACAAACCCCTAAAGCATGACTGCTTGCAAAACTTTACATAAAAAAGGGTAAAAATATAGCCCTGCTCAAATGAGCTTACAATCTAGAGAAACAACATGATAATTATGGGAAAAAATATACACAAATATACACACAAGGGAATATAGAAGTCAGCGAATATCTGTGAAGTTAAGATCCAGCTATATTTACAGGGTTTAAAATTGCACGTTTTAGGCTATTAGCCAGGAATAAATTAGACACTGCAAGCGATATTATGCTCACCAGGGATACATTTTCACTCACCTATTACTAGTGGAGACTGGGAATTTTGAGCCCTGTATACCAATATATACCAATAATGTTTCCTGAATATATTTTACTATTTAATAAATAGCTAAATTGAAGATGCATTCAAACATTACTTAAAGGGACACTATAGTCACCCAGACCACTTCAGCTCAATGAAGTGGCCTGGGTGCCAGGTCCCTCAGGTTTTAACCCTTCAGATGCAAACATAGCAGTTTCAGAGAAACTGCTATGTTTACATTTGGGGTTAATCCAGCCTCTAGTGGCTGTCTTCCACTAGAGGCGCATCTGCGACGCTGGAGGCACATTTCGCCTCCATCACGCAGAGCGTCCATAGGAAAGCATTGAGATATGCATTCCTATGGACACTTTGAATGCGTGCGCGGCACTTGCTGCGTATGCGCATTTGGCTCTGCTGACGGGCGGGGGAGCTGAGGTCAGCGGGGGAGGAGAGGTCACCCAGCGCTGGATTAAGGTAAGCTGCTGAAAGGGTTTTAACCTCAGGGCACTATAGTGGTTTTCCTGACACTACAGTGATCCTTTAAAACTAAATCAGATTCATACATAACACATATATTACAATCTGGCTACTACCTATGATGATGATGATGATGATGCATGACAGTCCGGCTGGAAAAATCTTGAATGAGTGGGAAATCGTGAATTCACAGATTCGGAGATTAATGCTACAGTGACTACGTCCTATCTATCATACATTTTGTAGGGCAGTTCTGATTTACGACCCTGACTCCCCATCCCAGTTTAGGTCTCTGGTGTCCCCATTCCGGCCAGTCCTGCACTAAACTAAATTAGGAAATTTTTGCCCTTAACATAAAGCACTGGCTGCTCTAAGGGGGGTTGGTCGGCTTCGCACAGATGTTACCACAGTTAGAAACCCCATTTTGAGATGTCACATCATCGACCCATCCACACAGCGCTCCGGCTTACTCCCATATCTCTCATATTCCAAGCATTTATTTTTATTTTTATATAGAATATGGAATTCAATGTAAAAGGAAGATACTGTCAGTCGTGACAGATTATGAACGAACCCTATTCCGTAGGTTTACAGTATAAACATTCACATAATCCGCCAGTAGATGGCAGCAGTACCTACCGATAGCAAACTCTAAACCCTGGAGCATTGATTGAATAAATCTGCATATAAATTCACCCCCTTGTAAAACATAATAAATGTGCATAACATTAGGAGACTCGAAGACTGTTATTTTTTGTACAGCTTCATCCTGCAACGTACAATAATTAAAAAATTCTCCTTCCTGGTGGCTGCCCAAAAAAAAATAAAAAAATAACATATCTCGAATGCCAACTCCTTATTTTGAAATTGTATTTTCCTGGCACTGGACAGTCCATTTAAACAGTTTTGTATTGCTAATGCTATAGTGTTCCTTTAATAAGCAAATGTTTAATATGAATAACAAACAAGGTCTAATTCAGGGCAGCACTAACAGGTTCATACGTTAATGTGAGAATAGTTGCAAATTTAAAGTATATTTAAAATGTAGGCCCCAAAAATCTCCATAGCAGCTATGCTCTAACCTGCTTATTTTGGCCTTAAAAAGGGTTACTCCATGCACCATGACCACTTCTGTGATTTGAAGTAGTTATGGTGTTTGCACCTGTATGTGTATCATTTCACAACGAAACTATGCGCATACAAAGTTTAACCCCTCTGCTGCCAGCATCATTAAGCAGGTCGGCTAATGTCATCAGGCAGGTCGGCTAATGTCAATAGCATGCAAATTTCATTGGACAGAATGTCATTTGTTGCCTGAGAGCGGTCAGCTGACACTCTCAGCCAATAAATGGCGATGGCATCTGTTTCTGAAGAAGCCTATAGTGCGTCACCAAACCACCAGAGAGCCTTGCTAAATAATTGCCCCATTACTGGGGAACCGGGCCAGGGTACTCCTTACACCATAATCACTATAGTGGGCTGTTGTGGTTATGGTGCTTGGAGTAACCCTACAAATTTGAATTTTACTTTGAATTACTGCCAATTCTCACTTTACTGAATAACCCTTCAAGCCTCTATTATGGTATAGCAGTGCCTGCAGTGCCCCAAGTTATCGTGAAATGTGTTTTCTCTGATGTTCTGCCAGCCTTTAGGCAAGACTCAGCCATCACTGTTATGGCCTTTTTATTTTCCTTATTTCTATAAACAAAACCTAACATTTTAAGTATATTGAGAATGATTGATTGTAACCTGTAAACTCATTTTGTGCAACTGTGAATATGGTTTTACATTTAATTTTCTAACGTCATGAGCTCAAAAATCTGGATATACACAATAGGAAAATTCTACTTTCAAATAGCCGAAGACATTAAAAATGTGATTTAGTGTGTATATCCCTAGTACATGGAGATATACAGGGTTATATACACTAGAGTGAGAATTATAGACTGTAAGCTCGTCCTATAGAATGTAAACTCGTTTCAGCAGGGTCCTCTTCAACCTATTGTTCCTGTAAGTTTTCTTGTAATTGTCCTATTTATAGTTAAATCCCCCCTCTGATAATATTGTAAAGCGCTGCAGAATCTTTTGGTGCTATATAAATGGCAATAATAATAATAATTTATAAAAATAAATTAACATTTTAGGACAAAGAAGCCAAACTGGAAACATAGCTAAATTAGAGCATTTTCCTTAATTTGTCTGTTATGGCCCTTAATTTGAAATTCACTTTGAATTCTCACTTTAACAACCCCAATAGTATGAGTTAACAAGGTAGCAGACTAGTGATCCTTTTTTGTGGTTACAAAACTGATAAACATGGTATTAGCGCTCCCTCTACTGGATAATTATCTGCACTGCTGAACAGGCTTAGGTTCCCAGGTAGGTAACTATTCCAGAAAGGTAGAATTATGGCAAAGAATTTCAAGCCGCAGGCCAAAAAAATTATTTAACTCTTTTATTCTTCAAACTTGGTTATTTTATGTTTCAAAGCTTTATTAAGGCAAGAATATATAATCTCAATAGCATAACGGTGCAATAATGGTGAATGTGAGACTCGCAGGTCTCAAAGTAACGCAATGAAACATGGTGATTGCTATAAACAGTAAGTCAGAGAATATATAAGGCTAGAACATATCCACTTGAAGGTTTTGAAGCCTAGCAGGTGTATCATTAAAAAAAGGCTGTAGGTGAAAGGTTAGTGAGAAATAGATAAGTGAAGTAGTGGGTAAGAGAGGAAGACAGGTGGTAATAGACAAGGTATAAGGGTTAGTCATGACCCCGCGGATCAGCCCCAGCACCCCAGACGCGCGCAGCATCCGTCCGTGCCACATACACAAACCAAAATCGCCAGCGCTCTGTGTGTTTCGTGTCAGTGCCCGTCAGGGATGCATGCATAGCTTCTGCTGATTAGATTTCCACCACCCTGTCCAACCACTGTTCTACCATGAGGGTTTTGTCCTGTTTCCAGAGTGCAGGTAGTGGAGTGAAGATTTAGCTGCATTCAGGAGATGACACTAGATCGATTTTTTGTAGGCGTCCAGAGGGGATGGGGTGGCATGGATAAGTACGTATTCTATCTCAAAGGGTTATTATTATTTCCGTTATCTTAGTGCCTACTGACTCCCAGTACGGTGTTATACGGGGACAGTCCCACTATATGTGTCGGATAGTTCCTGCAGCCTCCCTGCATCTCCAGCAAGTGTTGGGTACAGTGGGGAACACCTTGTGGAGGTAATCTGGCGTACGATAGCAGGAGGAGAGAAGTTTGTAGTTGGTTTCATGGTACTTAGTGCTCACCGAACTTTTGTGTGCTAGTATTAGGATTTTCTCCCACAATGTGTCTGAAATAGTCTTCCCCAGGATAGTTACCCAGGTCCGGTTGAAGATATGGTTACACCAGGTGTCCAATGAGGAGGTGTTGATATAGCGTAGAAACCGCCCCATCTAGGGTAGTCATGTGATTACATAAGCTTTCAAACCAGGTGAGTTCCCGGTGTATGGCTGCTTTGTTTGGGATCGTGTGATAGAAGTGTCTTAATTGTGAATATTGGAGGGGAGTCGCGTA